TAGGAAAATTGCCACTAAGTAAAGTTGTCTAAATACACACAGCCTCTCAATGACTTTTTAAAATAGTTACTTCAGTGAATTAGATTTTCTGAAACGTAAGAAAAAATATTAAAGTTTGCATTTCCATCTCTGTTATTCGAGAGCAGCAGGGCAAGGGGCTGCTTGACTTTTAAGCTGGAAACTGTAGCACACACATTATCCTGCATCCATTTCCTTACATAAATACAGACTTCTATTGATTTCTGTTTATTGGTTTTTGCATAGAATATATTGCTCAAATTATTTAGTTGGTTTACAAGTGTGTGATATTTTAATTTTTTTATCAAAACACATTCTTTAGTGAAAAAAGAACATGAATTTTCAATTGATATAGCATAACAACTTTTAAAAATGTAGAAGCATGTTCCATATTTCAAATGAATATATTTCTCTAGAGACTTTTCCTCTTCATTTTCCAGCTAACTCCCTCTGGGGCGTAAGCCCTATGTGCTGATTACTGGCTCCAGCATATTTTATCCCAGTATTATAAGCACCTAATGCATTGAAACCTTGAGAGAGACGTTTAAATAAAGTAATGAAGCCAGCGACCCCATAACGAAGGCCTCCACTTGCACACACAGGCAGGAGGCAGCCTTGCCGAAGAGCAGCCCCCCACTATGTCCTGCAGTGACCTCCCTGCTGACCTGCAGAGACCACTGTCTCAAGGGGTGACAGACAATTTAGTCCTTTATCCTTTTGTCATTGAAAATGACTCCATGGCCATAAATTCTAATCAAGTCAAACTGGATGGCAATTTAAAAACAGAAAATTTTCCAACGCGCGCTTTTGGACAAAGCTCAGTAGAAAGAAAGGAAAACAAATGGACAAGTGGTGTTTCCTAACATGGAGAAATAACTGACCCAGCCCTCAACCCTTTCCTAAGACTTCACAGATAAATGATATTGAGACGGCTCACTCTTGAGAGTGTCATCGTGATTTTTGTTAAGCCAGGGAAAAAAAAGCCACTATGTTATAGGGGAAAAACAGACTTTTTTTTTATTTCACATACAGCATTCATAAAGGGTGAGTTTCCCTTTCAGTTCAAGGTTCTGGGCTGTGCCTCCCGCTCATGTGAACAGGAGAACAAGCCACTGGTCCTAGCACGGTCACCTAGGCTAGCTGGAAGTTAAACACAAGCAATCATGAGGTTTAACTTGAAACACTAAGAAATGTCCCAGGGGAAGCACTGCTCATAATCACCATCCATACCTCAAATATGTACAGAGGAAATATTTCAGGTATGTTTTGGGAGGTCTCACTTCTTCGGTGGAGAATACAGATATTTTCCCAGGAATACACCATACTTCCGTCTTTTCTGTAGCCATTTTCCTGCCCACGCGGTGGATACCACCTTTGGAACGTTAGCATCCTGCCTGCTGAACGTGGGACAATGAAGGCTTGATAGGCGTAACCCCAAGTGAGACACCCCGTTGACATGAGCAATATAACTGTCACCGGAGAAACACAGCAACCTGTTCCCTTGGAGACTGCCTGCCAAAGGCTAGTTTGGGGTACCGTTTTCAGTGTGTGCATCACTAGTCCTATATTGGGGGAGGGGGCATCAGTCACCATCATGCAACTAGAGCAGTATGTGACACAGCACCAGTTTCTCTGGTAATTCTCCCACGTGCCAGCCTGTGCCCCATCCGCCCTTGCTGTCCCTGTGGCTCAGAATTTAGCAAAATATGCTTGGAAGCTCAAAACAGAGGGAGTTTTCTGCAGGCTTTATAAGAATAAATAATGCACACTTAATGATGTTGCAGAGAACTCCTTCACCACATGTTTCTCAATGAAATGTGGATTTATCTCTCTTAAGTGTACTTTAGTTTCCATGGCTGTTCAAGTTAAGCAAAACGTTACCTCTGATGTAATTACTTCATAAAACACAAGGGCCCTTTTTTAAACTTTCTACTTAGGCTGGCATATGGCTTCCTGTTCCTCCTCCTAGCATTCTGAGTGGCTCAGAGTCCCGAAACATTCTGCACAGTATGTTTCCCTTTGGATGCTGTTAAGTACAGAGGTGCAATTTAAGCAGAGACATAAAAAGCCCAATGGTTCCTGGAATTTCCTTTGTTTATCCATAGAGGGCATCAGCATTAGCCTTTCCCCTGCAGTTTGGGGTTGAAGATGCCACACTGTGAGGGAAACAGGCCTGTCCTCTGGACGACTAATTTGAGTGAGACCCAGACAGGTGAATCAGGTTTGAAGAAATCCATTTATACTGAAATTTAAGGTGCAATAGGAAAAGCACGCTTTTCCAGTGCCCTGTTATTGGATAATGTCTCTCCATGACATTAAACATACTAAAATACACAGGATTATTCTAATTGGTCCCTTTCATAAAAGAAGCACAGGCTTCAACCACATGGTAGAAAGTAGAGGCATGATGACTTGAGAGAGAAACAGCAGAATGACCCTGGTTTAAAGAAAAGCTCAGCTACGTACGAACAAGACAGTTCTCTGATGTCAAATAAAGAACACAATTAGAACCATGTCTACAAACAAAACATGGAGACCCAAACATTCACATACTAAAGAAAACAACAGATTCCTGCATCACGAACTTTGTCATCAAAGTTCCCGAAAAGACGGGGAGATGATTAGTTCAGAAAGTTTCAGACAGATGTGCAAACTAAAATTTCCAATTCTGAGGCTTAGTACTGTTCAAAAGCGAGAGTGCAATCATCCCAATAACGAGGACACCCTCCCAAGACCAGTGAGTGCTCTCCTCCCTGGCGACGTCCTATCGTTTCTGTCTTGCATTGTCTCCATTTTTTTGTTTTAAGTTTTCAAGATTGTTAAATCAAGTGATTTCTTTTCTGCCTAATTGAAATGTGGGAAAGATTTATATTGTGTTTATAAAGTAATCTAGAGAAGAAAGGCAATCTAGTGAACAAGAAACACCCCAAGGCAGAGTGTGGGAACTTGGCTGGGCTCACTGTCACACACTGAGAATCTCAAAACGCAGGGAAGGGGCCCTCCCAAGTGCACTGTAAGTTTCTGGTTAAACTCTGACTCCTTAGTCTCTGGCATCCCAGAAAGACTCCACTTAAAATCTTTTCAGGGAACTTTAAATAAAATTTCTTTGGCCCCGTTGGTTCTTTCAAAGTTTTCTTCACTGTACATGAAGAACATTAAAAGTAGGCTGCAGAGTGTGAAGCAATTCTCAACACTGAAAAATCTAAATAAACGCCACGTTAAATCAATCAACCCTTCATCACGTCAGTTGACAGAAAAGAACTTGTGGCTAGAAACCAAAGTCGACAAAATGTTCTTACTTTTTTTAAAAGAAAAATACATAAAATGTTTGGGACAAATAATTTAATATCAGCTGCTTTGCTGAGGTTGAGATCAGCAGCTTTTAGAAAACTAAAGCCCTCCTCAATACACTCAGTTGCAGAGAGCGCTGCACATGGGTTTTGCCTTCCTGCAATTGATAATTTTATCTGATTTTTCTCACTAGCCTCTTAAAAGAAAATGAGTGTTTGAGGGCATAACTTTTCACACAGCTAAGAACTTAGACTACAGCTAAAAGCTTCCTCAGAGTGAAATGCTAAGACCTCCCAAGCCAGGCATGAAGGCTTGATTTCCGAAGCCGGAGCCTTTTGAACTAAAAGTAACCATAGGATTTTCTGAAAACTGAAATCAGTTGTGTTCTTAAGTGAAAATCAGCATTTTACCAAAAGAAAAATTTAAAACAAAGTTTCTCTGTGGTTCCCTTCCGAACACAAAACATAAAAGTGTTTGCCTGAACATTTATAAGTAGAAAGCTGTTTTCTATGGAAGCCGCTGAGAGCTGCTGACCCACTGGCCAAGGAAGCTCTGTCTGTTCTCTACAAAAAAAAAAAAAAAAAAAAAATTAAAACCGATTTTAAAATTAATCAGCAGCCCTCACCAAGTATTTTATGTATTGATGTTGTTTGACTCTAAACTTCAGGCTTAGGACTGTTTTTATTTTAATCAGAGAGTCAACGGTTCTCTGCCTCTTATACTAGGTTAGTTGTATACAGATGTGTAGACAGACACACTTGGAAATAATTAAGAGCAAGCGTGTCGGAGACTGCTGTTCTGAAAACCTAATGTCACTCAGAAGCATAAAGTACTTGAGCTGCAGGGAAGTCTCAGAGCATCCATCACAACGGCACGTGCCTCAGCAGCCTGCTCCCCTTGATTAGCGATCACAGTGGTTGGAGTTGGCTTGCAGACTGTCATGTTTGAATGACAGATGTCTCTGCTGAAGTGGCTCTCTGTTTGTTCTCATTTTGTTTATGAAACAGATTCCTAAAAGGTCCTGGGCTGTCGCCACGGTTAGTGAGAGGCAAAAATATGCTAAAGAGAGAGGGGTAGGGAGAAGGGTAGGGGACGGTTCTCCTGCCTCAACCCTTTTAGCAGAAGTACTCACTCAGCTGATGACGACAAAATATGTTTCAAAGAGCCGTGCCTGTAGCCACCTTTGTTTACCTGGCACAGAGCGATTTGTATTGACATTTTCAGTTCTCCTCGCTCATCTCTTGACTACAGATAATAACTCTTTACTCTCCTTCCCTGTAACAAAAGGCTGCAAAGCAACCCGAAACCGAGTCGATATTTATTCAATAAATGTTAACCAATTCTCGCAATGGAACTGATTTCCTGATTATTATTACCATTCCGTTCTTTCATTTCATTCTTTCCTTCTATTTCGTTCGAATAATTTGCAACCTGGGCACGGCAACGCTACTTGACAAGTCAAAATGGACAGTAAGGAAGTTCCTTGTTGGTGAAAAAGTTTGGAGGGCATCCCTCCCAGCCAGCTGAAGAGGCTCGGGTCCCTCAGCCCCTCTAGGATGTGAAGCCCCTCTTTAGCACTTACAAAAACATTGAATGGAAAGCAGGAGGAAAGGGGGGCTGGGGTGGTGGTGGCTGGCTTGCTCTTCCGGACAACATGGTAGGACTGAAATGAAATACCTAGACAGACTTACCGAAGAGCTTGCTGGGAGTGTCCTCGCTGTCATTTGATTCCACGGGCGCAAGCAGGGGCTCATTCAGCTCGCTGTCTGAAGTAGCAGCCTTGTCCTCACCTCTCAACTCCGCATTCATTTCACTCCGCACTGACAGCAAGGGCTTACTGACTTGTCCAGCTATCATTGGATCCTAGGATGGGGGGCAAGAGCGAAGGGGAGGAAAAAAGTGGCAGCTTTAGAGAGCGTGTCCTCTCTCCCTCTCCCTCTCTCTCTCTTCCACACACACACACTCCCTCTCTTCTCTCTCTTATCTCTGCCTGCTCCTGCTGTTATTGCTGGCTGCAGTCAAGTGAAGAGCTATTACAGATTCGATGAGTTCTCCATTACTCCCCACCCTATTAAAGCTCAACTAGCATGTGAGAGATTCAGGAGCTTCGGAGGGAAAAGGAAGGAGGGGGATAAAAAAAAAAAAAAAACTTCTTTGCAAGCAGCCTAACCAACAAGGCTTTAATTGTGGGATGTGCTTTTGTAAGGATGTTTTTACACCTTGTTCTGTCTTTAATGCAGTAAGGGGGAAAAAAAGAAAGTGCTGGTTTGTACTCCAGCAACGTACCTCTTTAGAAGGGGCACCCTATGGAGGGAACGGGACTATTTTAAGAAGCCTTCTCCCTGGGGGAGAAGCAATTAAACCCTATCCCAAGAGCAGAGAAAAGAGACAGGGGAAAAAAAGACCGCTACAAGCTTTCAGTGGAATAAGAGATATTTCTTATGTAAAATCTGAGCACACTTAGAAGTTTTCTACCCTACATGGGTCCCAGACTGAGGACAGAGGCTGACCCCAATCAAATGCACATTTTAAAGCAAACAGTACACAACAAAATATACAGAAATTGCCTTACATTTTTAAGGAAGTGGGAAAATACTTACAAACTGTTTTCAATAATTCAGTTACCTAGAGCATCATGCACCCAGAGCATTAAAGAAAAAGAAATCAAGAATCACCTCCAGAAAGAAAAAAAAGGCAAAACTTTTCTCCCCAATAATTTAGCCCGGCTTTATCTTCAGCTCATTCAGAAGGGCATGTTACGATGAGGAGGAATACCCCCCAAATCTAGCCTTTAGTCCACTTGCAAACTAAGATGGCTTTGGCACAGATATCAGATGCAGAAGCAAAGCAAAGCAAAAACTGCCTTTTTCCTTCGTGATCTGGGAGCTATTTATTGTCAAGTTCATGCCTAAATGGTTCCTGAGCAGGAAACAGGTGACGTGCAGGAGCAGGTGGGGCGGCATGCTCCCCTGCCCATCATCACATTGGTTGTGGTATGCCTGTGGGTTTTTTTTTTTAATGTATTCATGCCTGAAAAGTGAATTTGATATGACACATGATAATCTATGAAAATGTTAATCAATACAAATAGTTTAAGCTGTCATCAAATGCACTTCTTTAGTCAATACTCATACCACTGAAAACAATGTCACTGTCACCAGGGCTTAATTTGCACAGCACTTAAATATTGGACTCTGTGCATCAATGCACTTCTTCTTCAAATACTGTAGGTAAACACATTTTCTCCCTATTTAAGGCTGAAGCACTCAGCACGCATTTAGCTGAGCCGAATCCTCCCTTTTGAATACCTTGATAGGTCCACTGGAGGGCAAAATTAATACTTAATTGAATCTCACAGTCATCAAAATAATCAATACTTTTTTATTATTTATTCTTTACAGTCTGTTGACTGTTTCAAACCTCTGAGGGAATGGTGGAAAGGATTCATGGCTTTGAAACACTGTCATTTAACAAGGTAATTTTCAGTGGGGCATTAGGGGTTGTGAAACATATAATAAAACAAAAATGGTGGCTTATAATAGGAAGAAAGAAAAGAATTATATTTCTGCCATCTAACAAAACAGGATAAATAAAAAAAAGCAAGTGCAGAGAGAGCGAGGAAGGAGGGGGATGAGGGAGAGAGAAAGGCTGGCTTTTGAAGGGTTTTATCATATCAAGAGCAGAGCTGAGCTTTCATAATGCTGACATTTCTCATCCTGACAATCCTAAACAAGTGGAAAGGATGCGATCGCAGATATCATCTTTCATCACATTCCCTAGCCTAAGAACCAACATGACAGCTCCTCGGCCCTTTTCACTGTTAATTACTAAATAAAATACTACTCTCTGTCAACATCAGATTATTGTAGATAGCAACCACAAACATTTCTCCATTGTTACCTCCTCGGAAACTCTGATACCTACCTTGAACTCTTTAGAAAATAGATTCGGCTTGTCTCAGTATATTGTAAATATTTGAAATAGAATCAGTGTAATCAATGTGGTCGTATTGTCAATCTAAATATAGATTCGCATCCCAGACACTGGCTTTGGAGGCTAGATTTTAGAGCACTTGGCATTGGGGGATAGAGAGAGACTGACAAAACAGAAAGGAGACAGGCAATTCTCTAAATTTCCTCAGAATTCTCCTCTGCACATTTACAGAAGAGTGTGTGTGTGTGTGTGTGTGTGTGTGTGAGAGAGAGAGAGAGAGAGAGAGAGAGAGAGAGAGAGAGCGCACATGCACGTGTGCGTTTTGTTCTGATTTAGTGAACAGTCTGGGCAGAACAGGGAAGGGAACAAGACTCCTGGTATTTATAATGTGTTTATCATAGAATACAAGAACCCAGGTTTAAATACTAGAACATTTTTTTATACTTCCTTAAAGGCTGAATATTCTGTAACCTAAAGGAAGAGATGATTTGTCCCTTTGAGACATCCCATCTCTGTCATTCCACTGCTTATTTGAATATCTTTTAAGGGATGTTGATGGTGAACTTCTGTTGGCAATACATTCCTGTAAGCTACACGAGACTATTCATGTGTCAATGAATATCTGCGTAGACTTAAAAAGGAATATTGTCCTGCTTAATTGTGAAGGGTCAGAATTGAATCCCGAATCCCACTGAAGAGCTGAGATGAAGCTGATAAGCCCACCGGCACTTAAATATCTGTGCAGAGCATGTCCTGTGCGGTGGTGGATATTCACTGGCCATTAGTTTCCTAAATGACTTTCCTGCACCTCATACATGGTTAGGTTGCCAAGTAGTGCTTCTCACGAGAGAAGTTTAAAAAATTCAGCTTGTCATTAAAGTACTCATTTGAGTTTTCATTTAACAAAACACTTTACAATTTCCATGACATCGTTGATTTTGTGTGTGTGCATGTTTCTGCATGTGCACGTACACACGTGCACACACGCACGCGCATGACATACTTAAATAGCAAACCCCTAGTGAGTCAGAGAGCAGACAGCTTTTAATCACAAATGCAGCCACTGGGTGGTCTATTTGAAAATGTGCCACCTGCAGTAACCACTAAGCGCAGACTTATGGGAACCGAGTGTCTCGTTCAAGTAAGGGTGAGCTTAGAAGACAGTCTCTGTGCCAAGTGGTATGGTAGTCTGGTAAGCCATTTCTGCAGAGAGAAGACAGGACTTTCCAGTACATACCCACATGGTAGCTGGCAGAAATGTAAGAGAGCTCTCACTTCAACATAGCCAAGGATCTCCACAGCCACAAACATGAAAAAAAAAAATGGCTAAAGTGAAAAATGAATAAAACTTTCACACTAACCACTTTAAGTTGTTACCACTGCAGTAGGAGAAATAAAGGCCTCTGTGTCGTTTGGTTATAAACACTGGTAGGAGAAAGTGGTCTTTCGTTTAAGTGTCAAAGGTTCAAGAACAGGACATAGCCTATGTCACTATAGGTACTCACAAGGGTCGCTAGAGACTCAAGAGGCCAGGATAGTGAAAAGACAAGAACGAAATTAGAGAGTAAGACAGAAGAAAATTGAAAAAGAATGGAAATTACTCCATCAGCAAAATTTCAAGGAAACTTTCACCATATCCTAATGTGAACAGTAGGACTGTACCCCAACATCAAAAGAGCACAGTACCTATTTAGGTCTCTTTCAGGTGTCCCTAAGGAATAAGAACCACTCACTCAGCACCTTTGTCAGACAAGCCCTTCAGAGGTATCTGTTGTAATATACACGAGGCAAGGTATTACCCACATTTTATGGATGAAGAACTCAAGATCAAAAAGGCTGGGTGACCAGAACCTAAGACACATGGCTAAGTTTTGAAGCTATATCTCAAGCTCTTGTAGATGGACCCTTTTCTATTTCCCAGTAACCACTGAGTGTGACTGAAGTAGGAATCGAAGAGTCAACAGGGCCATGGCTTGCATCAAGCCTAGACAAGCAATTCCAAAGTGGGCTGTGTGTATTATCTTCTTCCCCATAGGATGGCTCTGCTTGGGCAAAACACATGGGACACTGACGTATAGGAGACCAGACCCTGTAAGGTGTTCAATACCCAGACGCATTCAGTGGCCTCTCTAGATAATCATAACACACCATATAAACACTTTCAACCATAATATTGTTAGCTCAGAAATAAAAAGGTTGGAATGAGAGAGTGTTTCTCTAAATGCCTGTCACAAAACACTGGTGTCCAAGATATTCTATGATACAAGGGTAGTCCTCAAAGTTCAGTTAAGTCCACCTGACGTACAGCCTTGTTCCATTTAGCTTTTATTGATTGAATGCATTCTCATCATACTCTAATTTCTGTTATCCTTTACTATAATTCCCACTAGAGATATTCCAATGCAGCTCTGTCCAAGTTTTATTTGATGAGTGGCTACAGGACACTGTATTACTATGGAGAATTCAGCATGGACTTTTGCCAGGTTGCTAAAAATAATGCCAGGTAAGCAGAGATCGAATAATTCAACTCAAGACCTTCAGAAGTTCACAAAATTTTTGGAAGCATAATCACTCTCAATTTCTACTCAGAGAAATAAGGAGAGCAAAATTATGAATTCAGCAAAGCACCCGTGCCCAGTGGCAGCCAAGCAATGGGAACAGCCACACCCCTCTTCGCAGAACTTGAGCTAGGTCCAGCATATTTTTGTAAACAAATCAAGTATGAAACTGACAGTCGAAGTTACTTTTGGGGACAATATAAATAACTTAGGCAGCCCTCAAAAATCCTTGAAAAATTCCTTTGGTTGCATGATAAAATTACCCACACCAGAATTCAATAGAAATATTATTTATGTTTAAAGAAAACAAAATACATGTTTCTACTGGGCATTAGTGGCACGCGTCTTTAATTCCAGCACTTGAGAGACAGAAGCAGGCAGATCTCTGTGAGTTCAAGGCCAGCCTAGTCTACAG